TTGTTCAAACTCTATGTTGCTAAAACTGTTCTTGAAGACTCAAGCTTATTTTGACACTTGTTTTTTTTTTTTTTAAATATCCCTGTGAACTAAGTATGAGAATACAGAGTAGAGAACACAAATTAGATATTAAATAAACACTAGTCAACTGACAGCTATCTGACATGTTTCTTGAACAACAAAACCAGAATAAACAAATAAAAATAAAAGAATTCTGGCAGAAGTTAAGTAGAAACAGTGATCTGTGTTTTCTTGATTTGAGAATATGGTTAATGTTTCAAAATTTATTTTAGGCATGTATATACAATGCCAAAGAATAGTGGCATCAATTAAAAAAAAATACAACTAAACTAAGGTTAGAGCTCATGGTTTTTTCTAAGGAAACTAAATTTGTCAAGTGAAATGAGACTTCACTCTCCAATCCACTTCAAAAGACAATGAGAAATTCTTCATGCCAACTATATTAATATTAAATGTGGTTCTTCTTCCTTAAAGCATATTTCCATTAGCACAGAAATCCAAGGAAAAAAATTCTATGTACATAATTGTGGACAACTAGACAGAAAAATCAACTCACTATTTTTAAACAGCACATTCTTTTTTTTTTTTTTTTTTTTTTTAATTTTTTATTGTTGGCTGTTCAAAACATTACATAGTTCTTGATATATCATATTTCACAATTTGATTCAAGTGGGTTATGAGCTCCCATTTTTACCCCATATACAGATTGCAGAATCACATCAGTTACACATCCATTGATTTACATATTGCCATACTAGTGTCTGTTGTATTCTGCTGCCTTTCCTATCCTCTACTATCCCCCCTCCCCTCCCCTCCCCTCCCCTCCCCTCCCCTCCCCTCTTCTCTCTCTGCTCCCTCTACTGACATTCGTTTGTCCCCCTTATATTATTTTTCCCCTTCCCCTCACTTCCTCTTGTATGTACTTTTGTATAACTCTGAGGGTCTCCTTCCATTTCCATGCATTTTCCCTTCTCTCTCCCTTTCCCTCCCACCTCTCATCCCTGTTAAACAGCACATTATAAAAAGAAAGAATTATAAATTACTCATGCTTTTTTTTTTTTTTTTTTTTTTACAAGGGAGAAGTCAAACTACAACTTACCAAACTAACTACAATGGGTTACTAATCCTATTATCATACCTCTCTTAGTCTGTAAAGGCAAGCAAAACAGTATACTGAACTGAACTTTGAGGTACAGACAGTAAGTACACTGAACTGCCACAGATATGAAATAATAATTCATAGGAAAAAAATTCCACCAGCTAACAAATATATAAACAGAGACACAACTTCATGTATAAATACATGAAAATTAAGACAAAGTAATAGTCAGGTATGGTGATGCCCACCTGTAGTCTCAACTATTAGGAAGGTTGAAGTGGAAGAACTGTTTGAGCCCAACAGTTTAAGATCACCCTGGGCAACACAGCAAGACCTCATCTTAAAAGCAAAAACAAAAACAAAAACAAACAAAAAAACAGACCAATAAACTGAAAAGTTGTATAATCCTTGCTGTTAATGAGTGTAGGAGAAAATAAACTCTCAGATAAGTTACTCTAGGAGTAAAACTTGGAGCAATATTTTGAGAAGTAATTTGGCAATCTCAACATTTTAGAAGTGTATACTTTTTGGTTTACTGTCAGAAATTAATCTTATGATATGTAACTTAGCATAAAATATGCTTTCACTGGAGCATCATTGAGTGTTTCAGAAAATTACAACTAAATTATTCATCTACAATACTGTTATAATCATGCAACATAATACCATACATTAAAATAAGGGGAATCTCTAAAATGATGTAAAATGGACATTCCATAGATGATGTTGGGCTGTAGATGAAACTCAGCTGTAGAGCACTCAACTAGCATACACTTGCCCATGTGGTGCTGGGTTCAATCTCGGACCTCCCCTCCCCCACCACACAAACAGATGACAATGTAAAGGTGAAAAAAAAAAAAAAAAACCTCAGATAGCATATGAGCATTTCAGGTATGAATCCCATTTGAAGTTTTCCACAACTTTAAAACCAAGATAGAATTATAGGATTGTTGTGAAGATTAAATGACCTTGCTAGTGATATGTGTTAAGAGCTCAAAAATAACAAAGGAAGCACTCAATAAATATCAGTTCTGTCTAGAGAAGGGACAAGAAAGACATTTTTGCTTTCATCTTTTTTGATTTTTTAAATCATAAACATGTTTCGTGAATTGAAAATTGCTTTAGATAAACAAGAAAACACAAGCTTTTTACATCCTGAAAGTAATTAACTAATCCCTCTCCCTTTCCATTTGTTTATAAGTCTCTTGTGCACATATTTATTAACTCACAATTATATTTTTGCATTTCCCAACAGAACAGAATAATTGGTTTTGTATATGATAGATAAAACTAATTTCTTATCCAACCAAAATCTTTGTGGTATACAATGGGAGGAAAAATTACTGAAATCCTGTTAGTAAACTGATAAATAAATATCTACATACTTTATAAGTTCCATTAAGGAGGCTAGGGATATAGCTCAGTTGGTAGAGTGCTTGCCTCCCATGCACACGGCCCTGGGTTCAATCCCCAGCACCACTAAATAAATAAATAAATTCCATTAACAATCAGCTAGATTATCTTTTTGTAATTAAGTTATATAAGTACTCTTATTTGATTTTATACTTACAGTTTCCATGCTCTCTTTTTTCATGTTCAGTGAATCTAGTTGTTGCTGAAGTGTATCTAATTCCTAAGAAGGTGGAAGAAAAGGCAAGTAGAAATTACAATAACAATTTCTATTTCATTTTCATTTCAAATTTACACAGTAAATTTTGAAAATATCCTCAATTGATATCTTGCATATTGACTAGAATTTATTAACATTTCAATATTTCTAATTTTTACTGATTCCTTTAAAAACTTTGCCATATACCTTCAAAAAAAATTTGTAAGCTTGTCAAATGTGGCTAGATCTTTTCATGATGAATCATTATGGTGTTCTGATAATTTTAATTATCAGAAGCTTTAAAATTAATGATGTCATTGCTTAAAATTCAGATTTTTTTTTTTGGTCCTCACAGCAGGAATTTTATTTGGGTTGTCAGAACTTCTCCAGCCACTGGAGTCTGGGCTGTCCCTGACCACTGCCTGTTCACAGGCTGAACCAGCTGGGGATACTGCCTTGCCAGGGGTTGCTGCTCTTAATTTTGATTTTTAACCACATTTTTAAAAATATTTTGCTCATATCCTAGGATAAGATCCTTGTTATGGTTGGATGTGAGATATTCCCCAAAACCTCATGTGTGAGACAATGCAAGAAGGTTCAGAGGAGAAATGATTGGGTTGTGAGAGTCTTAATCCAATCAGTGAATTAATCCCCTGATAGGGATTAACTGAGTCATAACTGACGTGGTAGGGTGTGGCTGGATGTGGGTATTGGGGGTATGGCTTTGGGGTATACATATTTGTATCTGCAGAGTGGAGTCTCTGCTCTCTGATTACTAAGTGAGCTGCTTCCCTCCTCCCTCCAGCCCTGAGGAATGGCACCTGCTACATATGGATTAAGACCTCAGAAACCAGGAGCTGCAAATAAATGTTTTCTCCTCTGCAATTGTGTTGGTGGGTCCTTTAGTCACAGCAGAAAAAAAGCTAAAAAAATCCTTAAACTGATTATTCATTATAACCCTCAGAAAAATTAAGTATACCTTGGTCCTAACAAAGTATTTGGTAACTATTGTGTCATATCTGTAATATTTCTACAATATTTTTCTTCAAAGCTTCATTTAATCTTGTTTGTTTGTTTTATTTTTGGTGCTAGGGATTGAACCCAGGGCCTTATGCATGCAAGGCAAGCACTCTATCAACTGAGCTAATATCTCCAGCCCCACTTCATTGTATCTTATAAATTTTGTCTAAAATAAAAGTTTAAACTAAAATGTCACTGAAGGAAATATCTGAGAAACTAAAACAACAGTCATTATGGGCATTTACAGGGCCTAAGTCTTGCTAACATTTTAAGGAGCAGCTAGATATGAAAGGCACCATCATAACTGAACACTGAAAGTATTATCAATGACCCCTCAGTAGCCACCTAAATTGTTACTTACCTGATTAGGGAACAATAACCATTCAAACTGAGGACATAACAGGTGAAAGAGTTGCTGTTTATTAGACAGGAAGAAAAAGAAAGCTAATATCCATATGGTGGCTCCTTTAGTTCATGAGGTCTTTTAAAGTTCTCATTAAAAAATCCATAAAAATGCAAGCATTTTCATGTATCTTTATGATATATAAAAATGAAGAATGCATAGAACTGAACAAATAATAATTATATAATGTTAATTAGCAGAAGATCTTGTTAAAATGAATACTCTGATCACCAGATCTAGTCAAGCTCAGGGGATGCTAATGCTGTTTGATTTTCAGATGCTTTTAGTAGCAAGACTGATATATGCCTAGCACATTATAGTAATTAATATTACCTGCAACAGTTTCTCATTTGTGGTTTTCATCTCTATGTACTTGACTTGTTTTTCAGGAGACATATTTCTAATAATACCATCTGCTGCTTGTTTTTCTTGTTCAACTTCTTCTTCTACACTTCTAATTTGTTTTTCTTTCCTGAAATCAAAAATGCACAATATTTCCTTTACTATATTGAGGGAAAAACTCAAATAATTCCAGTTAGGTCTTAATTTAATAGAGTACCTAAAGATATTGAAACAGTGGTCTTCATAAACACAGGCTTATTTTTACATCTTTCTCTTTTCCATCTCCAAATCCTATTTCTATATTCTTTATTTTACTTTACTAAGAAAACAGATTAGTACAGAAGATCCTTAAGTCCTTATACATGTGAAGATACATTTACAACTTTTGTTGTCATACACTAGAGACAAATATAAGATAGTTAAGTTTTAGAATCATGGTTTTCTTTTCTTTTTATTTTTAGTTGTAGATGGACATAATACCTTTATTTTGTTTATTTAGTTTTTTTATGTGGTGCTGGGGATCGAACCCAGCGCCTCATGCATGCTAGGCAAGCACTCTACCACTGAGCCACAACCCCAGCCCAGAATCATGGTTTTCAAACATCCTTTAGTCACAGGAAATCTTTGAACAAATGAAAACTTGTATAGAAATCTGACAAGTAAATCAATGCAGCTTTGCCTGAATTGGCAAGTAGGGAGACCTCTAATACAATTTGATTTTTTTTAAAAAGAAACCATACCTTTAGATTAATGGTAAGCTTTACTTAGTTGGACATGGTGATAATATACCTATAGTTTCAGTTACTTGAGGGTCTGAGGCAGGAAGATCGAGCCCAGAAGCTCAAGGCCAGCCTGGGCAATATAGCAAGACTCCCCATCTCTTAAAAAGCATTAGTAACAACAATGAAAATGGTTGAGCATGAGGCTCATTGGTAGACTAACTGCCTAGCATGCTGGATTTGATCTAGCATCATGATAAACAAGCAAATAAATATCTATAATAGTATGCTTTGGGCTAGGTTGTGGCTCAGTGGTAAGGCACTTGCCTAGCATGTGTGAAGCATTGGGTTCAATTCTCAGCACCACATATAAATAAATGAATAAAATAAAGATCTGTCAACATCTAAAAAAAATTTTTTTAAATATTATGCTTTGCTTAAATTCCCTTTACCTACCAATTTAATTAAAATAGTTATCTAATAAATTATCACTATTTTAGCATTATAATAGTCCCTAGAAATATAAATGTTAAGTAACAGTGAAGTTAATTAGAAACAATAACCATCTTATCATATAATTACAAGAAATACCAGTGTTGTGTGCCTTATGTGTAAAAAATAGAGTAGATAAAGTTTCAGGAAAAAAAAGATAGTTGAGACAGAACCTGTGTAAATACTTAAAGATTTTCATATAAAAGCCTGATTTAATGTATTTACAGTCTCAGCATCTTAAAAGTTCTAATTTGGCTTCAAACTCTGATTAATCTATCACGATTTACTGTATTTTGTTCATAGATATCAACTACAGTTTCACAATCACCAGCTAAGCCCAGTGGATGCACAGATCCCCATATTCTTCTACTCACCACTAGCACAAATAATCTAAACTCCAAAATTTTCCAACAAACATCATCTTGAAATAACCAAATGAAAGATGAACATAATGAGACAGATAACTAATGCATTCCCTTTGAATTTTAATTACAATAATATAACAAATGTGTTGCTGTTATTACAATTTACATAGGTATATGAGTTCACAGAACTTCTAAGCAGAAAGTATCATCTGTTTAAATCTGTTTTATTGAGCAAGGATACAAAAGCCCCAAAGTATCAATCTTTTAGAACTAAATCATTCTAAATTTCGTGATTATTCTACTATAGTTAGATGGGAACTAATGTTGTAGAGTTTCCCATTTTACAGACAGGAAATTATAGCATAAGGAAGGTAACTGATTTTCTGAAGGTCATATAATGGTCAACTGACAGGTCTTTTGGTAATTTGAGCACTTTGCTCCTATTTTAACTTGCCAGTAAAACAACCTGTGAAGGTGTCATAAAAATGAGTAAATAACAAGTTGAAAGGAAATGGAATCCAAACATAGTGTTATACTTTTTCAATTTGTATCTTTCTAAATACAAATTTAGGACTAACAAGTTACTTTAGAAACAATATATCTTTAAAAAAAAAAAAAAAAACCTTCTCAATATCATACACTTTAAGTCACAAAGTTAAATTGTCAATTTGTCAATATTTTGATAACATTTTGAAGAGTAAGAAACATAATTGTTGCTTAGTGCGGTGAGGCTGACTTTGAATGTGCAGTCATCCTGTCTTAACCCTATCTCTAAATAAAATACAAAAAAAAAAAAAAAAAAAATAGGGCTGGGGATGTGGCTCAACGGTCGAATGTCCATGAGTTCAACCCTGGTACCCAAAAAACAAAAAAAGGTTAAGCAAGCCCCTTCCTTGTTGCACTGAAAAAGTCAAAGAAGAAATTTTTCTTCTAGTCAATCTTTTGCTAAGGAAGTTCAGCTTTTTTTTTTTTTAATCACTTATTCACTGGGTACAAAGGTTAAGACAAAGTGAAATCATATGACATACTTTTTTCTATGTGAGCTCCTCTGTGCCCAGCTCTAATGGTGTAGAAGAAACTGAATAAATTTCTTCAGCACACCAGTCTCAGAGACAAAAGGAAAAAGTAAAGGTAAGATGATATATATTTATAGGTTTGGTTGTTGCTGAATTTTAAAAATTAACTGTGTTAAATCTGTACAACAATCATTGCCTTTAATAAGTAATGAAAGAGCAGAAAATGTGATTATATTTTCACATGGTCTACCTCAAAAATAATATAAACCTAAAACACAACCAAGAAATCTTTCCCAAATAAAATTATAATGAAATATAAAGTAACTATTTTTTCTTTGAAGAACAAAAGGTTGAATCTATCCACTCAAATTCATAAACTTTTTATTTTGAAATATAATATTAATGGAGCATTTAACTGAAAAACAAATGTGCAAGAGGAAAAGAACCGCTAATAGAAACTATTGAAACTGGGAAACAATTATTATCCTTACTTGTGTTTTTTTTCCTTAAAGTTTTCCATTTCAAGTTTTTAAATTTGCACTCATATACACAAAACCAAGAACAAACAAAAATAATCTATAAAACTGGTAAGGACAGGAATAAAGTTAACCATCAATCATTACCATCTTACTCCAAATACACTGAATTCTGGCACAAATAATTAAAGCAGGTAATGAGAAAATTATGTATGGATTTCATTTAACCTATATAATTGTAACATCCATTTATTTCATGGCATATAGTAACACATCAATAACAAAATCCCTGAACTTGTACTTTAAACCTCATTAAGAATATGACTTCTTTTTTTATAACTTATCATTTCCTGTCTAAAGCTCTTTTTTTTTTTATGTGAAGTGTACATTGTAAGCTATGTAAAAGGGCTCTTAATTTTATGAAATAATTTTAAAAACTGATATTCTACTTGGTTTCTATTTTTATTAGTTCTAAATAATCATTACATAAAACTCAAAATAATATTTCAAAATGAGAAGAAAAATTCCAAAAGAAGAAAAACAGAAAATAATTGTTTTCTTTTTAAATCAACTTTTTGAAAGTGTACATTGACTCATGAACAATTTCTTCATAATCTTCTGACTTGCCACTCTGCGGAGATGATTTCTTAAAGGCAGACAGCAATACTGCCTTTCAGTGTCGTGATGATCAATAGTCACTCTGTCTCTAAAATTTTTCCCGCTCTCAAAAGGCACACAGATATGTGGCTCAGTGTATTTCACAACTTTAGATCTAATAATGCTTTAGATTTGTTGAATGTTTCCTTGTACAGAACCTTGAACTGAGCATATGCTGTTTTTAAGTCTAGAATTTATCAAGAGGAAGGAAAACATTTACTTTTTCTTTATTTGTACTAGGGATTGAACCCAGGGGTGCTTTGCCCCTGAGCTACACCCACAGCCATTTTTATTTTTTATTTTGAGACAGGGTCTTGCTAAGTTGCTTAAGGCCTTGTTAAATTGCTGAGGCTAGCCTCAAACTTGCAATCCTCCTGCCTCTACCTCCCAAGTCACTGGGATTACAGATAAGTGCCATTGTGCCAGTGAAAACATTTCTTCTTCTAAGTCTTGTAATTTTATTTTTTAGCACACTAGAGAAAACAATTATTATTAAAAAGATAACACAGCAAATAAATTTAAGACTGTCCTATTTACATTTCCATGTACGCTCACAGTCCTACCTTCCTTTATTTCCTTCTTCACCTGCTTCTATTCCACATCAAGTCCTTAAATTCAGTTTTCTTTGTAGTCTATTTGCTTCCTTTAATCACCCCTATCTACTATATATATCTGAAAAACAGCACTTCTCCCTTACTCATCTCTCCATTCCACCAGAAACTTCAGTAAGAACTTTACCACACCACTGAGAAATACTGCAACAAACCATTGAAGAGGATGTGTAACTATCCATAGAGATCATTAAACACACATAAAATATATTTTGTAAATTTAAATTTAGGCATCTCCCTTTATGGGCAATGGACAGGAATAGTGATAGCTTAAACTCATTTCTGGCTCTAAAAAGGTTCTATTATTATCTATATTTGAGTTGCATCAAATCTAGGAGGCCAAATAGCTTTTTCTAACAAATTTATGCAAAGAGAGAGTAGATGGGGAATAAGGTTAAACAAATCAATGAACTGAAGGCAATGAGTACGTTGACTACAATAGACTAGCACTGAAATAATAAATTCCTATTGCTAATGAGAACAAACTTTAGTAATCTGAAAAGAATCTTCTCATGAAGATTAGTTTTTCTAATTCCAGGTTTGTTGAAATATTCTCCTGGAAGCATCTTAACTGTTACAAATGCTCTAAGAAGGCTTAAAAGACTAAACTTTAAAAGACCCCTAATGACAGGATGTATTCATACCCTTTCAAATCAGAAAATTTGTCTGCAGAAGAATTTCCAGTGTCAACTTTGAGAAAACAGAATGAGAAACAAAGATCATGAATAAAATGATTAAATGGAAAGTTAATGATTTAATAAGAATAGCATTCTGCAACAAATGGCAATTTTTGGTAAAAAATAGCATATGAAATGCAGCCAATAACACAACTCCTGCCCAAAACTTGGAAAAAATAAATAAAAGGTTAAAAGGAGTATTAAATTCACAATGACACAAATAATAGAGGGTACAATAACAATAAAACTTACAAAGCACAAAGTTAATAGATGAATAGAAATTGACTGGGAAAGCAAAATTTTCCCAAGTCAGCAAATGGAAAAACACTGAAAAGCCACTTGATTTATATTCTGCAAGAACTTTGAATGGTCCAGAAATGGCAGCACCAGGTATTCTGAAAGTAGAGGAGGGGCTAGGTTCAACTTGCTTAGTACGTGCAAGGCTCTGGGTTCAATCATCCTACCAAAAAAACCCAAAAACCTTTGTTCTAAAAGAATCTTTAAAAAAAATCTAAAATTAATGACATTTATGGATTCCTTAAGAAAACAGTCAAGCAAGTTCACTCTGAAATGCTAATTCCAATCCGCTTTTCAGTTCCTCACTCTTCTACATAACCTCACAACAAAATATTAACATATGAACAAAGCCTCCAAAAAACTGGGAAAGTATAGCTTGGGGACACATATTCTATTTAAGGGAAAAGACAACAAAAGGCACACATACACAAAACAATAATAAAGGCAAGAAACTCAACAGATACTGCTGCAGAAAATATTGAGAGAACAAAAGTTCTTAAAATTAAAAAGAAGACAGGAAATAGCAATCTTTAACAGAATTTGAGAATAAAAATTGAGGATGCTTCAAAACATAAGAGATGTAATATAGGAGAGTAGAAAGAAAATCATTCCAGAAGGTTTAGTACATAATAAGGTAGTTCTCCATAGAGAAGCAGGACTTGGAGGAAAAAAAAAAAAGTGATGAAGAGTATTGTCAAAATTATTAATGGAAAAATTCCCAGAAATTAGAAATACAGCTTCCAGATTCAAAGTAACAATCAAGTACCCAGTTTAACTGATGAAATTAGACTGTCACAAAGACACAGAATCATGAATTCCAGAATGCTGATTTTAGAAGCTTTGAGGGTTAGGAAGAGGCAAGGTACATTAAAAGGATAAATAAGTAAAATAAGGTAACAACTGAAACTCAAAAGACAATGGGGCAAGAAAATCAACATTTTCAGGAAAAATTATTTCCCATCTAGATTCAATTTCTAGCCAAAGTATCTTTTAAGGTCCAAAAAAAATTTTTCCATCCTATGTACTTTTTCCAGAAGTTATGAAGCACCACTGAAATGAGGTAATAAGCCAAAAAAAAGGGCATTCTAGAAAAACGGGAATCCAATAAAGCAGGCAAAAGAGAATTTCTGTGATAAGGGCAGAAGTCAACAACCATGTAGAAAGAAGGCCCATTGATCAGTTTCTCTAGCTTAAAGCATGGTAGCTCTTGTAAGCAAATGAAAGAGATTAAATATCTAAAATGCATTAACTAGAGAATTGCCATGAGAGAGTGTGAACATAAATTCATTTAAAAAAGAAAAAAAAAACCAGTCTGATTAATTTAGAGTAAAAAAACCATGTAGCAATGGGAAAGTAATCCTCTTATGTGGCTCATCACTGATAACTTATATGTACTTGTGATAACATAAATGCTGAATAGCCATCTAAAATTACAAGTGACTATATTTGGAAGTCAATGATGTATTTAAGAGTAGGATAGAGAGTATTTGAAAGAAAGCTAAACATTTTCATCTCCCACAGTTAGATATAAGCCAATGGATTAACACCAACAAATAACACCTAAAATTGAAAATTCAAGAATTAGCAATACATGAATATAATCAAGCACACATATACACATAAATATACATTCTTCTGGACTTTCTTTTTTTACATATTTAGTAAAAATTTAAATGTACTTTAAAGTTTCTTTCAAAAGATCTCATGAGACAACTTAGAAAATATTGTCATTCTCCACAGGAGCTTTTGTTAAGATCAGAGTGCAGGGATGGGGAATAGCAATGAACTTGTTTCTTATTCTATGTATCTTAAGAAAAAAGAGATTTAAAAGAAAAAAAAAATCCATATGTTCTCAATAATCTTTACAGTTCTTGTATTTACTGAGATGAAATACTCTCTTCTCTCAGGCCTGCAATATGAAATTCACATGCATCACAGTCTTGTTTTGGCCCTTCTCCATGCTATTATTATTGGACAAAAGCCAGACTTCTAAAATAGTAAGTTTTTATAATCAAGAGAAATGTCTAAAATATCTAAAGGCAAACACCACCACCACAAAATCTGATCCCTAAACTATTCTTTAGTTATTTGTATATATTCAAATCTGTGATCTGAGTCATCCTAACTTGACAAAGGTAATCTTTACTTTGTTTTTAAATTGAGTTCTTTAAAAGTTGATGAAAGAAGAAATCTGTAAATTTTCACTATAAAATCTGAGATTAGTTCCAAGACATAAAAACCACAGCTTAAAATTATAGAGGAAATTTCAACTGCAAAGACAGGCAAAACAATAGTATTCCTTTGTATCTATATCCACAGAAGGAAAGCACTTCAGGTTGTGTGGCTCATTAAATTTACTCACAGATGCTCAATTTCTGATATAAGACAAAATATTTCCTTTTAAAATATGAAACTTTTAGCTATTGGCCCAACAAAGCTTAAATTGGGTATTATTTTTTAATTATTTAAGAGCGCTAGCTATGTGTTGTTATCTCCACTGATTTTAAAAAATTATACATTTTAAATAATTCCCCTAGAAATGCCTAACTTGCATGTTAAAATATTAAGTTAACCAAATTATGTAATATTTCTACACATAAAACAGCAATATATCAATATTCTTTCTCTCTGTAATGATTACATTAATTACAGTTGGAAGATATCTGTATAACATACTACAAGCATTTCCCTACTTATTCTATTAGAATTTCCCTAATCTTCCCCATTTCATCATTAAAAACACTCACTTTTCCACATTATAATGCCTAAAGATGAGATATATTTTTTCCAAAATGATTTCCTTCCAACATCAAAGTGCATGAATATGAAATTTTGAGAAATTATATTATTTTTTCCTGATTAATAAAATTTCTAATTTTTTTTCTTTTTTAGGAAGTCAAATGTAATTTCACTGAAAAGGATTATTCTTTGATTCCAGTGGGTATCAATAATAATGTTACTATCCTTGATCTCAGTTATAACAAAATTACTTTGAATGTTACAGACACAAGGGTGCTACAGAAGTATTTTTTACTTACTGAGCTCTATTTGATTCAGAACAATATCACTATCTTACATAATAGTAGTTTCAGTAACCTCTCCAATCTAGAAATCTTAAATATATGTAGAAACTCCATTTATGTTATTCAACAGGATGCATTTGTAGGCCTAAATAAACTAAAACAATTACATCTCTGCCAAAACAAAATATTACAACTAAATCCTGACATGTTTATGCCGCTAAACAACCTGAAACTTCTGAATCTGCAAGGAAATTTGATAAGCTACTTTGATGTACCACAACTATTTCATCTGGAATTAATAATTTTATATGGAAATCCATGGAACTGCACTTGTAGTTTATTCAATTTGCAGAACTGGTTGAAAACATCAAATGTGATACTAGGTAAGGTATCATCATTTAATTAAAATTAAAATGTGATTAACTTTTCGCATTTTGCCCTAGAAAAATCTTTTTCATGTTTAAACAAACAACCAACAAAAAAATCCAGCTGAGTGTGGTAATGCATTCCAGCAACTAGAGAAGTTTAGATAGGAGGATCGAAAGTTTGAGGCCAGTTGGGCAACTTAGTCACTGCCTAAAAATTAAAATTTAGAAAAGGATGGAAATGTGGCTCTGCAGTGGAGTACTCTTGGGTTCAATAATCAATACTGACAAGAAAAAAAGAAAGAAAAACTATCTATTGGGCTAAAGTTGTAGCATTTTGCAAGGCTCCAGAATAGATCCCAGCACTGCCAAAAAGTCAAGAAATAAAATTTCTGTTAAAGGAAAGCAGGAAAAAATATTTAAATAGTAACTGCTGGGGATTTGGGATGTAGCTTAGTGGTGGAGTACCTGCCTTGCAAGCATGAGGTCCTGGGTTTGATTGCCAGTGCTGTGCAAGAAGGAAAAAATCCCCAAAAAACCATCTCTAAAGAGTTACTCTCCATCCCCCACCCCCTGACTATAAAGAAATTTAAATGTATTGGGCTTGCAGAGACAACACATAAGACCAATTTTTTTTTCTTTAAGTACTTCCTGTTTATTATTAGATATCTTGTTGTAGAGTAGGTTAAAAAAAAAAAGGTGTCTTACTTTGTTAACTGCAAACCAAACACTGCTTGAGATCCAGACTGTAGCCACTATCATAATCATAAAATCTTTATAAACACAGACTAAAATATATAAATAGTTAATGCATTTAAACTGTTTTTATAAAGTAATGGGAATGTGTATCACCCCTCATTGTGTTACTACGCAAACACATCAAGACCTTGTTATAACATCCTTAATAATGATAGACATGTCAAAAATATAGATAAAATAATTATAAATGTTGCTAACCATTCTTATTCTCTATAATAAGCCTTAATTTATTCACTCTTATTTACCAGAAAATGAGAACATCACCATGTGTAGCTATCCACACAGCCTGAAGTGCTACAATATCAAAACAGTACCCTATATGGCTGAATGCTACTCAAAGTTTGCTTCATCTATAACTGAAGATCTTTATGTTCATTTTCAGTCCATTAGCAATTCAACTTTTAATAGTTCTTTAAACAATTTCACAAGAAATTCAGGTAATGTATTGGTTTTTAATATTAATATTGCTGGAGGTGTTATAAAAAATAAACAGTCTTTCTTTATTTCTTTATTTTGAATTTCTATCAACAATGTAAAAGAACATTTCCTCATCTCAATGAAAGATTTACAAAGTACTAGAATTCAATGTAGGCTCTCTTACTTATCACCCAGATACCACAGTTGATTATTTCACTTATTTGAGGCAAATTATAATTTTTTAATGTATGCAAATCAATACTTGTCTTATGTGAATGAGTAGAAATACCTGCAAAGACAAGTGGGCAAGGGATGAGTATCCTTTATCCAAAATACTCAGTACCAGAAGTGTTCTGAATTTTGAATTTTTTTTTAAATTTTGAAATATGTGCATATACATAATGAGATAGAAGCCAAGTGTAAATATGAAATACATTTGTTTCAAAAACACCTTATACATATATCGTAAAGATAATTTTAAACAATATTTTTAATGCACCTGTGCTTTGACTAATGTGTCACATTAAGTCAGATGTGAAATTTTCCATTTAAGGAATTTTGAGCATTTTGGATTTTCAGATTAAGGATGCCCAAACTGTAATTATTTTAGGAAAAGGTATTATTTCACCATACTATAAAATATCTTTTATTTAGTAACTAGTAACTTTTGTGTACCAACATTGGAGAGTAATAGGAATATTACATATCTTTTTCATCAACTTAACCAAATCTCTTTCTCTTCCATTTAAGAACATGAACCTCTTGGAAAAAGTTGGGTTTTTCTTGTTGGTGTTGTTGTCACTGCACTGATGACTTCACTCCTCATCTTAACTGCTATCAAATGCCCAATATGGTATAATTTTCTGCTTAGTTACAATCATCGTCGCCTAGAAGAGCATGAGGCAGAAACCTACGAAGATGGTTTTCCTGGAAATTCAAATTCTCTTCCACAGATAGGAGATATAAACTCTGAAGACACTACAGTAATATTTGAACAGTTACATTCATTTGTGGCAGAAGATGATGGTTTTATTGAAGATAAGTATATAGATACCCATGAACTGTGTGAAGAAAATTAATTTTAAAATGTTTGACTGCTGATAAAATATCAGACCACTCACAGTTTAGATGTGGAGACTTGGATATGTAAAACATACCAAATTGGAGCTAGTAGATCTTCATCTTAATTAATATCATATACACAAATATCATAAAAATGTTTTTCTTATTGAGCAAGGGGGGCCAAATGAAGTAACTGACACTCTTAGAGCTAACAGTTACACAATTAGTTAATCTACAGTGCTAGCATTATTAATCTCAGCAGTACTTAGAACAAGTAAAAAGGCAGCTAGTGTATTATTCATTAAATAAATGAATATATTCTCACAATAACACATATTTGTGACATAGGACATATTAAATTATACTAAAGTCCCAGTCATTAAAAAAATAAAATATTTTAGATTTATGTCATGAGTTAAAGAACAGAGAACTTCGACTACACACTAAGATTAGTTCTATGCTCACAGACTAATTTCATGGTATTGAAAAATATTTTATGTTAATGGTTCCTGAATTAGAAAAACATATTTACTCAAAACTTAGTAGAAACTTAAGCACAAGGCACAGTGTTCAGGTATAATCCTTAATGATTACTACCGATTTCAATCAGAAAAAAAGGCTATCACCAAATTTCATGATTGGCACAATTTAGTACCATGGTGGCTTCTCAAGTGGGCATCACAATTATTTATGAATTCTATTTATAAAAACACACATTTCTGCCTCTCTCTGGGAGATTATTCGAATGAATCTGTGCTGGGACTAAGGAATCTTTAGTTGGTCCATGGGTAGCTGATAACATGGAGCAATGTTTCTCAAATTGTTTTCTAGAACACTAACCTCCAGAGAGACATTCAGAAGTATTTATAGGATAAGAAAAAGGTACATGGGCCAAGCACAGTGGCACACCTGTAATCCTGGCTACTTGGGAGGCTGAGATAAGACGACTGTATTCAAGGTAGCCTGGGCAACTCAGCAAGACCCTTTGTCAAAATAAAATTTTAAAAAATGGCTGGGTCGGGGGTGGTGCACACCTGTTATTCCAGCAGTTCAGAAGACAGAGGCAGGAGGATAACAAGTTCACTGAAAGCCTTAGCAATTTAGTGAGGTCCTAAGCAACTTAGCAAAAAATCCGTCTCAAAATAAAAAATAAAACGAGGTGGGGATGAGGCTTAGTGGTTAAGCACCCCTGGGTTCAATCTCTGTACAAAATAAATAAAAAATTAAAAATAATTGGGATACATACAGCTCAGTAGTAGAGCACTTGCTTAGCATGGATGATGTCCTGGGTTCAATCCCCTGTGTGTGTCTGTCTGTCTGTCTTTCTCTCTCTCTCTCTCTCTCTCTCACACACACACACACAAATAAATAAATATAAAAAGAAAAGAGAAAATTTAAAGGGTGCATGGTCAAATTACTATAGAAAACACTGTGTTTAAAAGAAGTGAAACAAGATCCCTTGATATATAATATAGAACTTATCTGAGACTTTACTAAGCTAAACTGCTTTCTCATCATTCAAGAGAAACATATTAAGAATTTTTCAAATTTATTTACTTGGTACAACTACTAAGAGCTCATAGCACAATAATAGTCCAAAGAACATACTCTGCAAAACACTAGCCCTAAGACTGTAAAGGAAGAGTTCATCTAAAGTCATTATTGTCAATTCCCTTATAATCAACCGGCTGCAAATATAATTTTAACAACTCATTGATGCTAACTGATGTTAAAAACTGTAGTAAAATCTGTAATTTTAATATTCCACACATAGAAATTAGTGTATTTATCTGTTATCTTAAAAGATAAAGATCTCTGAAACATTGAAATATACTTATGGATGAAATGTGGATTTTCCTCATCATAATAAATGTAAAGCGAAAGCTGTGGATGAACAGGGTTATTTATATGCTGAAAGAGCTAGGAGATGGGTACATAAAGGTATACTATTTTTGTGTATGTTCAAATTTCTCTATAATAAAGTTTTTTAAATGTGTATGTACTTGATAATTCCTTAGAAAAAAGAGACTACAAATGTACATCTTGTCATGATCTGTAAAATAGTCATTTTAAAAGCTATATCAAATTCTACTTTGAGGAAAATATCTACTCTGGGGAAATAAAATCTGTTTATGATGATATATCCTTTGAAATAGAAGAACTGAAAGTTTATAATACATATTTGCTTGTGTTTATAGAAGCATATTTTCAATAAAGAATATGAACATTTTGTCTAATATATGTTATCCATTGCCTTAAACTTCAATTTTAAGAATGAGATAATTACAGGGATACAACTCATCTTTTTCCTAAATAAGCTATCATTCTATCTTATCTTTGCTAACTATAAGGTGCAATTATTAATATCTGAGAAACACAATAAAATATAATTACAAATGAACAAAGGTTGTATCTAATCTCTAAAATCCAAGAAACTTTTATCATTATATTTTACGTATTCAATAAATATCTAACTAAATAAAGAAAAATAAATGGGTGTAAAATTATAGTTACATATGTTTTAAAGAGCAAATGATTTTGACTAATCCCAAACTAGGAAATGTAGACATTAGAATTGGAAGAGAATCATTAGTTTAAGCATGTACAAGAATAACCGGCTTGTTATGGATAAGTTTCCCATAATGAACCAGATTTTCATGCCACACTAAATGATGGTACAAATAGGAAATCTGCCATTTCCTGGTCTCTCTGAATGTGCAGAGTCAAGGCAGATTCTTAGGTTATTGAGATGTTTTACATCTTGTTAACACAAGAAATAAATATATCCTCAGTGCATATGAAAGTAAACTTCATATAAATAGATTTTCCTTTAATTTAAATTTCTGCTTAAAAGAGAAAAGAATCTATTTTACTTTAACCTTAAATGCAAACTGTAAATATAATTTTGAAACTGGTGACATCTCAGGACAAATTATGATATTTAAAATTTTTTTTCTTTAATCAAATGAACCATACACATTAAAACTGTGGTATTTTTAAACTTAAATCTGGGAATATATTCCCGGATAAAAATCTGCAAAACATTTAGTTATAATATTGATATATCTGATTGAGGTATTATATAACTTTTCAAATAATGGGATAAATGGGGACTCAAATGTTCTAAATTCTTTAAGGTTTTTATATTTTTGTAAGGTTTTTTTTTTTTTTTGGTAAACTTAGGATAAATATTTGATAAATGGTTTCAAACCAGGGTAACAGATAGAAAGAGGGAGAGAAGCAAAAAAAAAAAAAAAAAAAGAAAAAGAGGGAGGGAGGAAGATTTCAAGTAAGAATTTGGTTTCAAAAAAATAGGTCTTTGTGTAAGAAAAGAAACTGCCAATATTTTCAATTTCTTAGAAAGCACTTTACAAGCCAGGTAAAGTGGTACAAGCCTATAATCCCAGAGGCAAATGAGGCTGAAAAAGGAGGATCACAAGTTCAAAGCCAGGCTCAACAACTTAGCAAGACCCTAAGCAACTTAACAAGACCCTGTTTCCAATAAAAATAAAAAGGGCTGGGATGTGGCTTGGTAGTTAAATGTTCCTGGGTTCAATCCCTGATACGAAATAAATAAATAAATAGCTATCAAATAGATAAATAAATAGCTATCAGGACTGGGGATGTGGCTCACTGGTTAAGCATCCCTGGGTTCAATCTCTAGTACAAAAAAAAAAAAAAAGTACTTCACAATAAAGCACTTCACAATAGCATCAAGTGATAGGAGAAAAAGAAACTTTTGTTTTAATCAATAAAAAAATCATAGTTACCTTTCAAATGTTTTATTACTGTGTTTCAGTATTCTGTCATGAAATATTTACTGTTTATGCAGAAGTAACATGACAGTGTATTTGTTATTACTGAATTTCATGATTTTTGTTAGTAATTATCCTTGCTCTCAAACAGATTTATATTAATACATTTTGGGTCCAGAATGAGCTTATATGTGTGTTTATACAAAAATAGCTCATCTTTTATGTTTGTGTTGTAATATAAAGAATCTAATTAGGGCCCAAAATTTCATGAAAAATAATTACATCATGTCTACTCATTATCTTTGTATGTGTTACTGTCACTGTCACTGTCACAGTTAATAACAAAGTCAAAGCTAGCTAGTATTTAGTCTTTAGATAGGTTATAAAGACACAGATAACCTACAAATATAATATAGAATACTAATATAATTATCAACAATGCTAATAAAAATTTAAATAGTCTACTAATGAATTTTTAGTTGAACTGGGGTTAAAATATCATAATCTAATTAATATTCTAGGTTAAAATTATAAATGGAAGATATAATAACATTCTTATCTCAAATTAATTTTAGGTTCTTAGAAGCAGAAATTGTTTATATATAATCTATATAGTCATTTTCTTCATACAGAAGTTTGTAATTTAGTGGTAAATGAAGATAACATGTACAAAAATAAAACTTCCATTGCAAATATTTATTTTTAATTTAAAAAGGCAATAGAAAAAAAGTTAAAACTTCTATAAGGAAATAAATAACTCACTAGTTAAACTACATAGTAAACTCATTTATAAATCTGATTTTAAATAGAATAAACTTACGCTTGTCTTTCAGTAAATATGATATCCATACTTTGTGTTTCTCGATCATTTTGAGCTTTAAGCTGAAGAAATAGTTAACACAGAGAAGTTAGTTATAAAAATGTAACCATTAAACTGAATACTTTCTTTAAAGGTTATTCTGGTTATGAACCAAATACAGATTATAATAATAATCCTAATGCCACAAAGATCCAGAAAAAACTACAGTAATTGTTTCATTTAACAAAGAACACCATGAGATAAAAAGAAAGAGCTGTTTTCATAAGTATCATAATCTCATGCCAAAAATATTCATTGTTCTTCAGTGATCTGTTAAATAATCCAATGTAACCTTCATTTATAAAAACAACATCTTAAAAATTTACTGGTTTTCAATAAACATATGATTAATAATGTGAAGAATTTAGAACCAGCATGGGTTTTTTGTCTCACATCACTCAGTATTTACGTGAGTACTCCTAGTTGACATGACCTGTGCAAATCTAGAATAGAATGTGGACATATCCCAAATAACTGACAATGCACATGAAGAAGTTCTTTTTATTTCTAGCACAGTTTTTAATATGTGAATTATTCTGTATCCTAAACATAAAAATAATCTACTAAATTATCATGGTTTTAGAATCTTAAATTTAGAAGAGTCATTTTATAAACTATGTTTTTACCGAATAGTTTCTGGTTATATAAATAAATTATAAGCTATATAAGTTATGAGCTTTATGTTATTTTCTTTCTAATGTTTATAATCAAAATAGGCTAGCTATGAACATTTTGTTGTTTTCTACCAAATAGTTAATCTAAATACAATTTTTATTTACCAATCAAAGGTCAGAACATCTGGCATCATAGCTACTCATTTTTTCCCCTTAAAACTATAAAAAGATATCATTTATCTCTACTGAGTAATCAACTCCACTTATACAAAAATTAAAACTGAAGTATTTTTAACTAATCTATAAACAAGCAATATAGCAGACATTCTAAGGCTGAGTACAAGGCCAATTCAAACAGAGCCTTGTGGACAGACAGTGAAGCATCTATTTGGAGGAGCCACTCAATAGGAGGAATTTAAAAAGAGCAACTAAGGGGGTTCATCTATAACAGTGATATTTAGAATCAAAGTAATGTCCATCTCTAAGGCCTAAAAGATTTTACCAAACTATTTCTAGATATAAATGCTTTATTTTGAGGATACTATTTTTATAAATCTATTGTTTATATTTATAAATTCTCTTACCATGTTGTAATCATTCATTACTTCTTCCATTTCAGTATTGGTATTAAGTTTATCTACCAACTAAAAATAAAAACACAAAAAAAACCCACATTCTGTTAGTCTTAACATTCTGTACAATTCATAATCAAAGTAATTCAATCACACATAATGAGTAGTAATTTAAGTACCAATACTTGAAAGCATCTTATCTTTGAAGATAAAAACAAATATTGAGCTAACTAAATAAATACATATTATGCATTTGGCCAAAAAGTAAACTACATTTTAGTGTGGAAAAATAGGTAATAATGAAATACTCTTCCTGCAACTCGTACCTTAAACAGCTTTGTCTGCTCTGAAAAGACAAAAAGATTAGAAAAGACTAAAGTTTGCCAGATTAATCACTCTCTTACTTTTTCCCTAGGAGAGAACATTAACAGGTTTTCAAATTTACACTGCTGAAAAATAGCTTTCTTTTTTATTTTTATTTATTTATTTATTTATTTTTTAAAGAGAGAGAGGAGGGAGAGAGAGAGAGAGAGAGAGAATTTTTTTAATATTTATTTTTTAGTTTTCGGCGACACAACATCTTTGTTTGTATGTGGTGCTGAGGATCAAACCCGGGCCACACGCATGCCAGGCGAGTGCGCTACCGCTTGAGCCACATCCCCAGCCCAGCTCTCTTTTTTTAAAAATTAAAAAAAAAAAAAAAAAAAAATCAACAAAGGAATCCATAGACGACACAACAGTAAGCCTACTTCAAAAAGTTAGGCAATGATATTAATAGCTAGCACAAAGTATTTGTGCCAAATACTGTTACATGTACTAACTTATTTAGTTTTTTTAGTATTACTCTATGAAGTAAATACTATTGTCCACATTTTACAGATAAATTTAGGAAGTACTGGAACCAGACAGGAAATCAAATTATTTAAACACTAAAAGCAAACAGTGTAAGTGTAATTGATGACAAAAGATTAAGCTTTATTAATATAGGATATATATCAGTATACATCACATTTTCTCATTTGTTATACACATAAGTGCTAGTAAGACTTAGTATTTATTAAATGCTAACTATAGGTTAGACACCTAGTTAAGTGCTTTCTATTTATTGGGTATTAGCTCATTAAACCTATAAACAGCATATTTTATACATTATTAAGATCTTTCTTTTTGTTTTAGGTGAGACAAGGGATTGAACCCACAGGAGCTTTACTACTAAGTTACATGACCAGCCTTTTTAATTTTGAGATAGGGTGTCTTGCTAAATGGATGAGGTTGGCTTAAATTTTGTGATCCTTCTGCTTTAGTCTCATGAGATGGAGGGATTACAGGTAGGTGTTCACCACTATGCCCAGCTTATTAAGTAACTTATCAAATACATTTCGGCATAACTAATAATTACTTTTATATATTGTCATTCCCCATCTTATAAGAATATTC